CAAAAATCGAATAACTCAAAAACAAAACAAAATTTTGTTCTTAAAATAAGATAATTTTTTATATTACTTTAATTTATACTGATTATAATTTTTTGGAAACAAATTTTTATTAAAAAGAAAACCGCTTGGTTCAGCGCAATTTAAAATTAAAATTTAAACAGCAGGGTACTAATTTTTTGAATTTCGCTTACGAATTACCGGTTGTTTTCTCTTTAAAATATTTTGTAAACGGTTCATTTTTCATAAACTGTCCAATTTTTAACTTGAACTGAAATTTTTAATCGGAAATTAGTGATTTGAAGAAAATATGCACAAATATGCTATATTTCCTAAAATATGCACCAAGTTGCCAAAATATGCAAAATGTGCATTTTTTATTTGGCTTATTTTAATTAAAAAAAATTAGATATGCATAGAGAACTTACAATTTTGTTGATATACCTCTTAATAACAAATATGCATTTTGCATATAATCCGAGCCTTAGTATAAGCAATTGATCAAAGTATGACATAATTTATTTTTTTATTGTTAAACTTTACCACCCTGTATATCCGGAACGAAGCATTATAGGGCTATCGTTTATTTGACGAATTAGTGTTATTTTTTGATGTAGAATATGTGGTTGCAATTCACAATATTGAGAAAAACACCTGTATAATTAAAAACAATCAAGAGACGAATACTTTATCGACATGGTTTATCATTAATTTTTGATAAGTTCAATTGATTTTGAAGGAAGTAAGTTAACTATAGTCTTACCGCATCGATAAATAAATACATGTTCAGAATAATTATGTAGCTGTTTTTTCCGATTTTTTTTTTAATTTCGTAATTAGTTATCTAAAAAGTAATCTAAAAAATAAACAGTTGTTTCGTTACGAGTCCGATGTATATAAAATACGTAATAAATGGTGTAATTTTAATTTATTCTTGTATTTTTTTTGTACATTAGTCGTTCGACTAATTCCCTAATTCGCAACTTATTTTGAATACCTTTTTGGTGGTTTAATAGAAATTATGTTATTCTGTAAATTCAAATTTTCCGTATGAATAAACTAAAGGCTAATATTTTATCGACGTGGTTTATTTTTTTTGTAATTTGGTTTTTATTTAATTTTAAATATATTATTTTATTATTTTAAAGTTGTTAATACGAGTGTTTTAATTGTCTAGTCGTCCCATGTCGATGAAACCGTGCAAATAATTTTCTTGATTTTGCAGCACAACGCCAACGTGAAGGCCGTGGACCAAGACGGGCGCACATGTCTCGCGTACGCCCGCGCCGCCGCCAGCATCGCCGCCGCCAAATGTCAGAGTAACAATAGTGTGACCGCCGACGTGTCCGCCGCCGCCAGTCGCAGCCTCGTTGACCTCCTCTTGTCCTACGGCTGTCCGGAGGTGTCTTGTGTGCCCGGGAGCGGCACTCTGCCCCGCCGCCGCGGCAGCCAAACGATGCCTCAACTCCCCTCGAGCGTCATCTAACCCGACTGATATTTCCCCCATACACACACAGGGTGCACTCGAAATTTTTTCTACACCTCGTCGTGTTCACCGATTCGATGTCTTATAAGTGTACAATCAATTTTTTATTAGTCAAAGCACAGAGTGTACTTAAACGACTGGTAATTTTTCATTATTGCACTAGGAAGCGAGTATTATGTAAGCGACTATATACAAATCTTTTATATGTGAATTTGTAATATTTGTACCTTGGACGTGATTGATTGATTGTTATTTATCTGGTTTTTGTGTACGTGGTTACGATTTTTTATGCAGGAATACTCTCTTTGTTAAAGTTTTTTTTCTTTGTATATAATTTCGCCAAAGATTTGTATCGATTGTTTTGTATATACGGAGCTAAATTATGTACAGAAATTATATATGTTGTTCTTCCTTACATAAAAATGTTACGAAACTGAATTGGAGTTTTTTTTCACGACTTACATACATGTTTTTTCTACAACCTACAAATTTTCTAAAATGAGTGGCTTCTTATAACTGAAAAATTACAATTACTTTTGACTTTTCTCACAGTTTTTTTATAATTATTTTGACTTTTAAAATTACGTAATTATAGGTAATTAGAAAGAATTGAAGACATTTTCAGTGATCTTTTTAGAAGTATTACTTAAAATTAATTTTAACTAATACTCCTAAAAAAAGAAAACCGTAATTATAAATGTCAAAACAATTATGAAAAACAGTGGGAAAAGTCGTCATTAATTCCCAAAACAATATACAGGGTGTAGCTAAAAATGTGTTTTTTGAACTGTTTGAGACAGAGTTTTGCAATTTGAAGTAATAGTTGTCTACAAGAAATCATATTTTTGACATTTAGAACAGCTTTTTTGCACTTTCGGTTTAAACGGAAATTGCAACTTTAATTTTTAAGTAGAATCAAACACTTTTTGACTTAGGTTAGAATAATAGAGTATTTTAATACAAAAAAATCAATTTTTTGTGAATCGTTTTTTGGTAATTTTTACCAGATTAATAAAAAAATACTACTAACAAAAATGGTTGCGGCAAAATTAATTAATAATTTAATTTTTCACTACATCTTTTTAAGGTAAAATTGGAAACGAGGATATAAAAAAGATTTTTCTTTTAAATGACATTTCGTTGTTTTTGAAAATCGACTAAAACTTTATCGACATGGTACAAGTTTTTCTTTCAGCAAGTTTTATTTTGTGTTTTTTTACACATTACAGTCCTACCACTTCAAATTAAGTAATTTTTGAAATTTACTAATTCTATTTTAATGAAGGATTTGTCTATAATAGTCGTACCACTACAATAAAGTTTTAATAATTTTGTTTATCAGCGTTTCTTACAATATAAAAATTTTCTATTTTACAAAAAACTAAATTAGTTCTGATGAGACAACTTTTCTTAATGTGCAATCAATAAATAAAATATTTATATTTTTTCTGTCGGTTTTTTGTCGAGCGTTGAAATCAATTTTTAAACGATTTAAAAAATTCAAAAATTATTCTAGAGTCGATTTCAGATTACGTTTTCAGTCTGATTGAATTTACACTTTTTTCAGTCAGAAAGCACCAAAATCTTGCCACTTTTCAGCACAAATAAGACGTCAGTTCATGTTTTTTCATTTGAATTTTCAATTTTTTTCTGTAATTAAGTAACTAATTAATTGAGTTGAACTGATTACACTGTTGCCGTTGTGTAAGTAGAGTATCAAAATAAATAATTAAAGAAATTAATAATTTATTTTGCCACAACCTAGTTTCATTACCGATGACAGAAACGTAATAATCACAAAATTAATGATAATTACAAATAATATTTTCAGGATTTTTATTTCAGTTTGTTGTAATGGCGAATCCAAATGATCGTAAGTGGGCAATTTTATGAAAAAAATATGAAAACGATTTTTAGGTGACGTTTTGAAAATTATAAAATTCTTGGCTGGTGACATTTTCCATACAAAATGTGCTAAAATTATTTTATTACTTTTGTCACTAATCCATGGAAGTGTCACTCTTATTCAAATTTACTTCACTCTAATGTACCCAAACATTAAAGATTTTATCCTAAAAGCACCGATTTTTTTCGGAATGATTTTTGTAAGTAATTTTTTGAAAAAAAATGTGAAATTTTTTTTAGCCTTTAACTGGTGCTATCACGGCGTTAGTACGGCCCGAATTAATCGACGATATTCCCGACTATATGAAAAACTGGAATATGGAAAATGTCGATCCAAAAATACACAAAAAAATGCAGATTTGGGTCCAATTATCTCGAATTTATGGCGTTGGGACTTTTATTCTAGCTTTCATATGCGGTCTTTCGTACTCACAATTTTTGAACCACGAAAACAAATTTTTTTTCTTTTATCAATTCCTCGATGACTTTTTTCCAAAATATAGATTTATTTGTAAAATTATCTACAAGTCGACTTTTCCGTTTATGTTTTACGCTGCTGTCATGCACTCCATTCAAATCACATACATCTCCCAACATATCCAATTTCAGTTAATGATCTTGAACAGCAGAATTGAAAATATGGTCGAAAGTGAACTGATTAATAAAAAATATCAAGAAAAAATTCAACAAAAACTGATTTTTTGTATCAAGAAGCACGACAGTATTATCACGTAAGCCAGAAATGACACGATTTGACACCGAGAAACTTAAATTTCACCAATTGTGTTAACAACTAAAAATTGATACTATTTCCGGTGAAACCGGAAGTGCAAAAAAATCGTTTTTAACGTCAAAAAATGTCATTTGTACTACACAATCACCGTTCCAAATTTGAAAATTTTATCTCAAGTAGTGTTAGAAGAACGGCTAGGTACACTATTTTTGCTACACCCTGTATACTGTTTCAGATTCGGTCGCAAAAAAATGAAACAAACTGGCGAATTGATTGGAATTTTTCTTATAATTTCCACACTTTGTGTTATCAGTGTATTAATATTTATGTTTGCGGTAATTTTTGTAATTATAGATAATTAAAAGGAATTAAAAGTATTTCTAGGGACCGTTCTACAAAGAGTATTACTTAAGATTATATTTGACGTGTGCAACTGCGGTTGCGGCGTTTGGATCTATGCTATTTTTTGGGCAAAAACTGGAAGATGAAGTGATAATTATTATGGAAAAATATGAATATTTTTGAAATTTTAAATTCTAGGTTGAGCAGTTGGCAACAGTGACTTACAATCTAGAATGGTACTTTTTTGATTTGAAAAATTGTAAAATCTATTTTTTATTTTTGTTAAATGTGATGAAACTTTTTCAAGTGAAATATCTGGATTTTGCTATTAATTACCGACTTGGGTTATCGGTAATTAATTTTCCTAATTAATTATTAACTTAATTGTAATTTTTAGCTTATGAGAACCATTTATTCGGTCCTTTCTGTTATGATCAAAATGGATTCGAAACTCTATGACCGAGAAGATTAAAGCTGCGTTGAAATTGTGATCTGAATTTGAGACAAAACAACAAATCTAGTCACTATTTAAATGAAGCGGTTGTAAATACTTTAAATTAGTTTAAATACACTGTGAGACAAATTGTAAATTATCAAATAAATATTTTTATTTATAATTATATGTATGTCTTTTTGCGGTGTTGCCGGTTATAGCCATAACCAACTCTAATTAAGCCAGAAATAATTTTTTTGTGCCAATTACGTATAATTAATTTAATTTGATCCAATTTTTAAGTCTCAAAGAATATTTTGACACTGTAGTACGAGCCACAATTTCAGTAAAGCAGAGCAAATTTGTCTTATTTATCAAGTGATATTAGGTTCAATAAATATTGGAATTATTAGAGTAATTATCATGATTTTTTTAATTATTATAATACTTTTTTCCCTTTACATTAAGGTTAATTTAGGTAAGAAATTGAAATAATAGATTTTTTATTTTAGTTTCAGGACATATAATTAATTACAATTTGTTAATTAAATCTGTTAATTCAAGTTAGTAAATACTTAATTGAATTTCAGGTAAGGCTATACAAAATTTGACCTAATTAATCACTACGGAATAATCAATTAATTGCTTTATATATTCATCATAACTGTGAGAAATTATTTATTTTCTCACTTCTTTTACTAACGATGACAGAAACGTAATAATTACAAAATTAATGATAATTACAGATAATATTTTCAGGATTTTTATTTCTGTTTGTTGTAATGGCGAATCCAAATGATCGTAAGTAAGCAATTTTATGAAAAAAATATGAAAACCATTTTTAGATGACGTTTTGAAAATTATAAAATTCTTGGCTAGTGACATTTTCCATACAAAATGTGCTAAAATTATTTTATTAATTTTGTCACTAATCCATGGAAGTGTGACTCTTATTCAAATCTATTTCACTTTAATGAACCCAAACATTAAAGATTTTATCCTAAAATCACCGGTTTTTTTCGGAACGATTTTTGTAAGACATTTTTTGTAAAAAAAAAATTGAAAAAGTTTTTCAGCCCTTAACTGGTGTTATCACAGCGTTAGTACGTCCCAAATTACTCGACGACATTCCCGATTATATGAAAAACTGGAGTATGGAAAATGTCGATCCAAAAATACACAAAAAAATGCAGATTTGGGTCCAAGTGACTCGAATTTATGGCGTGGGGACTTTTATTCTAGCTTGCATAAGTGGCCTCTCCTACTCACAATTTTTAAACCACGAAAACAAATTTTTTTTCTTTTATCAATTCCTCGATGATTATTTTCCGAAATATCGATTTTTGTGTAAAATTATCTACAAGTCAACTTTTCCATTTATGTCTTATGCTGCAGTTATACACGCCATTCAAACTGCCTACATCGCTCAACATATCAAATTTCAGTTAATGATGTTGAATGCAAAGATAGAAAAAATGGCCGAAATCTTGTTGGTTGATAAAAATTATCAAAAAAAAATTCAACAAAAAATGATTTTTTGTATCAAGAGGCACGACAATATTATCACGTAAGACAGAAATGACACGATTTGACATCGAGATACTTAACTTTCACCAATTGTGTTAAAAATTCAAAATTGATACTATTTCCGGTGAAACCGGAAGTGGAAAAAAATCCTTTTAAACGTCAAAACATGTCATTGGTACTGTACAATCACCGTTCCAAATTTGAAAATTTTATCTCAAGTAGTGTGAGAGTAACAGCTAAGTGCACTATTTTTGCTACACCCTGTATACTGTTTCAGATTCGGTCGCAAAAAAATTAAACAAACTGGCGAGTTGGTTGGAACTTTTCTCATAATTGCCGCACTTTTATTTATCAGTATTTTAATATTTATGTTTGCGGTAATTTATGTTATTTTAGGTGATTAAAAAGAATTAAGAGTAATTTTAGGGACCTTTCTACAAGGAGTATTACTTAAGATTATTTCTGACATGCGTAACTGCGGTTGCGGCATTTGGAATTTCAATAATTTTTGGTCAAAAACTGGAGGATGAAGTAATCGAAATAAGATTAATTTTTTTCATTAGATTTTTTAATTACAGGTTGAGCAGTTGGCAACAGTGACTTACAACCTAAAATGGTACACTTTTGATTTGAAAAATCGCAAAATCTATCTTATATTTTTTTTAAATGTGATGAAACCTTATCAAGTGAAATATCTGGAATTTGGTCTTAATTATCGACTTGGCTTATCGGTGATTAATTTTTCTAATTAATTATTAAATTAATTGTAATTTTTAGCTTATGCGAACTATCTATTCGGTCCTTTCTGTTATGCTCAAAATGGATTCGAAACTCTATGACCTAGAAGATTGAAATTGTGATCTGAATTAGAGACATAGTAATAAAACTAGTCACTATTTAAATGGCGCGGTATTCACTTTTTACACACAATTAAGTATAATTAATTTGTTGCAATTGTTATAATTCATAGTAATTTGAGTCACAATATTGATAAAGCGGAACAAGAATTTATCATCTTTGTCAAGTAACATTACTATCAATTTTTAAATACCAAAAAAATGGTGTTTATGTAATTTTAATCTTGAGAATACAGGTAAATAAAAAATTAAAATTAAGAATTAATTTTTTTAGCTTCCTTGACATAATTTAATTAAATACAATTTGTTAATTAAATCGTCCAAATTACATGTTAATTTAAAACTTTGTTGAAATTGTGATCTGAACTCATAAAAATAATCACTATTTAAATAGAGCTGTTGTAATTACAGATTTGTCAACAAGAAATTACCACCTAAGATTTGAATTTTTAGGAAAATTACGTTTTTCATGTTGTTTGTAACTAGAATTTTCAGAAGGAATTTTGAATGCCTAGGGTTGGTTACCCTTTGTTGTTGGCGGTTGACGTTTTCTGTCAACCTGCTGTCAACTATCAATTGAGTTATCTATTCAAGCTGACCTAAATTTTTGACACTTGTTACGATATCTTTTGTTTGTCACTACAAACGAATCTAACCAAATTTGTGGCAACCTAATCATGAATATCCCTAAATCCTAGGGAGTAATTTTTTGTTGATACGATTTTACTTTGATTTAGTCGAAAACACTGCGAGACAAAATAAATAATTGCAAATTAAATTAATTAATTCAGAAACTGTACATAATTATTTTTTTACTATCAATTTAGAATAATTTACTACAAAATTAACAATTTTAGAGAGGATGTTTATGATAATTATTATTTTATTACCGTACTAAATACAGTGTGAATAGTATAACGCTTTCTAAACTAGTAAAAGCAATAAAAGTATAACAATTGAAGGAGTTTTACTAACGAAATTTATTTCGATTTCTGCATTCTTGCGCCATCTATTGATAAATAAATTAGGTCAAAAGTTTTAAAAAGTTAGGGTTTAGGCACAGACCAATAAAGTATACTTTATTGGTCTGTGGTTCTACGCCATCTAACAAAAATTCTGTAAATACTGCAAGATTTCTGTCTTTGAATCAATACAAAACCAACAGATGTCTCCTCGATGACCAACGAAATTATTGATTTTAAAGTTTGAAATAACGAAAAATATAGAAATAAAGAAAAGTGAAAAACAGAGAGAAAAATAAAACAAATACAAAACAAATTTCATTGAAAATGTGAGTATTGTATCATATTTTCAAGAAAAAAAAATAGAAAAAAATTGTATCTGAAATCAATTTTGTGTAGAACGAGTAAATCGGGCGCAAATCTCATCGAATTTGCAAGTGTTAATTTTTGAAAGAGTATTTTATAGGTATAGTTCATTCTCATAAAATTTTTACACCTAGTTTTTTCAAAATTATTAATTTTTATTTATTTTTTATATTTTACATTTCAAATTTTGGCGCCATTTATCTTGGACAAGGAAGCGTTTTTGAACCATGGTTTATAAGAAAAACACATTATTTTCACGTGTTCTACGAATATTTCTGAATTACTGCCGACAAAAACGGAGCCACCCTGCATAAAAAATAAATTTTAATCTACTTTTTATAAATTGGACTTCAATAGAACAACAAACTACAGTCACTTTAAAAAACCAGTTTAGTTTTTTTTCAGATTTCGTGAACATTTTAGGTCGAAACGATAGTATCGTAAAATTTTGGGTTTGTTCAAAGCGCCTTTATGGCAATACATCATTTTATGTAGATTTTCGTCACTCGAAGATGTACGACGTAAACGTTTGTTTGTGCTCCTAAGAGGTCGAGCGTGCGCGGGTTATGGGTTAGATGGATTTCGACCACAAGGAAGAAGCGTCGCGACGCCGATATCAGTTTGCCGGTGCACGCGGATTACGCCGCCACCAAAAGTTTTACGCTTTACAAACACGTTACGAGTGCTTAAACAATAACAAATCTATTGTGTAGTGTGATTGTGGCTGACAGGAATTATCTCTTTGGATCTAAATAATGTAAGGAATTTTGAAAGTGTTTCATTTTAAATCCACTTAATCAAAAAAAAAAACTTTGTATAGGTACTACTTGAAGACTTCAATAGTCTTTGAACATATTTTAATCTTCTAATTAATAAATTGCGATTAACAATTTATATTTTATAGAAAACTCAATTCAGGAAAAACTATTAAAAAGAAAAACAAAAAATAAAAGAAAATATTAAATAAGTATAAAAACGTTGCTTTAGTTACCATTTTCATTTAATTTTTTTATGCACGTAAATTTTAGTTTAAACTGTAATACTTAATAATATTTATCTACATACGTCACAAAAATGACCACTTTTATGACTAAATGTCACAAGTCATGAAGTAAAAAGTGTTTTTATTTTTACCATGTCATTATTGACATTTACCAGTGTTGTTTTTCTGTCTTTTTTGCTGCTGCAGAAATTCCTGGAAAAGTACATTGTAGCATTCGACATTTTGCACTACTAACTGTACTAGCAAAATAAATAAACACTTTCGAAAATCTCAACACAAATTCTAGTACTGACGCCTGATATTTATTTATAAGCGTTGTTATGATTTTACTACTTGCAAAGCGTCTTGATTATTTTGTTTACTTACTTGCTAATTATAGTGTTGCTCTTTACTATCAACTTAATAAAACAGTATATGTTATTCAGAGTAAAAGTAAGTTCATGAGGCTCAGCTGAATTATTTTCCTCACTACGTTTGACATTTTAGACTAATATACCTAATTGAATAAACAATGATTAAAAAAAAGTAAAATGTGAGAATATGTTTTTATTTACAATCACTATTGTTGTAAAGTGGTGATTCCTAACCTTTTAGAGGTGTGGAAATTCGTCATTTCTTTCTGAAAAATGAATTAAATGACGTTTTACTAAAAATTCGAAAAAATTGATATTTTTGTATTTAATTGGGAAATAGTATATTATTCAATGAGTGAGAAAGCCGAACGCGAGTGGATTAATTTATTTGAGTGAAAATGGCAATTTCTCAGGATTTAATACTCTATTTTTCTTAATCTTAAATAATAACTGTAAATTTTTTTTATTTTTATTTATATTATTATTATTAGACTTTTTTAACACTTTTCCATTTTCTCTTTAGTTGATGATTGAATAACTTTTTTAACGGAAAACGGTTGAGCAAGTACAAATTCTTTTACATGATTAGAAAAAAAATGTTTTTCTGAATTATTCACAATTCAAAATATGGTTTTTATCTTTTTATGGTTTTGAGCTTTTTTTTGAAAATTTTGAAAACAAAATATCAAGCAATTTTAAAACGAATCAAACGATTTTAAAAACCTACTAAACAAACAAAATAACCTAAAATAAGGCCATTTGCCATCAAATGTGTTTTTTAAGAAAATTTAAAAAATCTGAAAAACCACTTATTTCAGAAAAGAATTAATTAAATAACGTTTTTTTTTGCTAAAGCTAGAAAAAATTGTAAATGATTACGAAAAACTTAATATATGTTTTTATATGTTTATGGTTTTCTGGTGTTTTTAATTGAATCGATTCTGAGCTTTTTTTTTTTAATTGAAAATAGTGTAATTACACATTTTTAAATCGAACACGTAAAATGAATAAAATATTTTTGGGGGAGATTGAGAAAAATTGTTGTTTTTGTATTATCCACAATTGATAAATTGTAAAAATTATAAACAAGTCTTTGATTAAAAAAATCTCAAGTTATGTTTTTATGTTTTTTTGACGCTTTCTTGGAAAATTTTGAAAATTTAATAACGTTTTATAGAAATTATGGGCCGCTGGCCTCCTTGTATAACTTATCTGATTCACAAATTTGATTTAAAGAAATGTGATTGTAAATAAAATAGCATATAAACCTCGGTGGTAATGTCAACAACACTTTCGGTTTCGGAAATGACACACATATTTCCCAGCTTAGTTGTAATATACTATTTCCGGATGACGGGATGAATGTATGAAAATAGTGGATAATAAATTAAATTTTAATCTTGAGTAGAAGAGAACAGAACAGAAATCGCTGTTTTTCAAGACTAAGATATCTGATTTCTTATAAGTGAAAAAAATTGCAGGGATTCCAATATTTGAGTAATTTTTTCAGTAGTGCTCAGTGATAGGGCAAGGCCTGTAAAATAGCACAGCACCTACAGAAAATCAGTACAATATAAACAGCTTCATAATAAATATAATAAATCAACATGAATGCGCAGTATGGTGTGAGAAGCCGTTGGTATTCATGTAATATATCATGAGTTCCTCGTCATACGCAGAGTAGAGTCGCTGAATGCAAAAATTTATGGAAACACCACTTCTCATTTATATTAAAGTTGTAAATTTCAACCGTAAGGTTGTGAAATAACATTTGGATACCAATATAACACGCTGTAAAATGAGACTTTTTAATACAAGAACCTAGACAGATTCCAAAACTGTGTTTGGAAAACCGAATCAAATATTTTCAGGTATATTTTACCAAAAACTAAAAATTTAAA